AGTGTGTGGTGGTTTCACTCCTACTCCAGTACTGGTTCCAGGAAGATCACCGCCACATACCTTAACATGTTGACCAGGTACATGACCTTCAGCATGACCAACATGGGTTCCCTTCTTTTCCAAACCCACCTGCTCCCACGAAGACGGCGTGGAGGACACACCATCCGAGGCTCGCAGACGGCGAAGTTCAGCAACCTCCGCCATCAACGCTGCATTTTGCTCCTTGAGGTAGGTGACCATCTCAGCTTCGAGGGCTCTTTGTAGGCCATCATGGTGTTCTTTCGAACCTTTCTCCCCGGGATCCTTTCGCACGTCAGACCCGGAATGCTCTGGTGTAGGGGGCATAGGTCCCATGGTTCGAACCGGCTGCTGACCCCTCACTCTTTGAACCTCTTCCGGCATGATGCCATGGGTTCGCTTCCCACCGCCCCGAACACGATCTTCTTCCTGCCAGCTTGGGGGTGTGGTGAACAACTTGCCGCTGTCCCCACTCAGGGTCACCACACCGCGCCCTTTCCCACAGCCACCGGTGCGATGTCCTTGCACCTCCAGGTCGAAGTCCTCGTCGCCATCGTGCGGGACTGGAAGGTCCTCCGGCCTCCTATGTCGAAGGAGAGCCTCCCCCTTGGCCGTGTCCGACCACCAGGGGTTCAAAGGGGGGAGAGAGTGTGCTCTCTCAACCATGGCGTTCGAAGGTTGGGCTCATAACCCTCGTGAACTAAAGGCATGCGCGCCTTTTCTCGAACACAAAATGCCTGAAGTCGTGACATGTCCGATGTTCTCTCACCGAACAGAACAGTAATTCTATTTAGCATAAAGTGGTCAGAATTTGGCCGAAACATGGAAAAGCTAACGGCCTTCGCTGAAGCGCCAAACCATGTCAAGGCAGTTGCTGGTTTGTTCATTTTCAAAGTGTGACACGAGCTCGAAAAAGCTTTGCGTTTCCCAAGTGTAACCTCGTCATTGATCATGCCCTCTTTGTTACCCAGATGTGCGGTAATTAGACGCTCAGAGTGAGTACAAAGCAATATCACATTTTTCAAAAATCAAGATCAGCATCATGCAATGATTGATAGCACCATGCAATGCGCGCCCGGCGTGCTACTGCCTTATACTGCTTGACCTGCTCGTCAGCGGGCTTTAGCCGTGCATTTGATTGATTTGCTGGAGTGCACAGTCTCGTGGCCAGGACATGGCGCGACGCCAACTACCTCAGCCACAGTATGCTTCCAGCTGGGCACTCTACAAAGAGTTCAGACAAAGAAAGTTAAAGGCAAATGGAGTTAGAGACCAACAGAGTGAATGCGCAAAGCAAGTTGAATTGCACGTGTTCCTCGTTTCCCTTGATCTTGACAATTTGCCGTTCTGACCAATCAAGGATGGGAGGGACACACATTCCCAGTCTCCAGTTCCATGGATGACATCAAGCCCACAGGCACTTGGGCTTTGTGTAGAATCTATTTTCATCATCTCACATCCTTTTCTTTTTTCTTTGGTTCTAATAGTGATGGCCTCCAACCTACTAGCGATGGGCTCCAACCTGATAGCGATGGCCTCCACTTTCATCACCTATATTCTTCATCTCACGACAGAAGGTGTTGAAAAATGCGAAAGCTATGTTGACGCTCCTTCAAGGACGGAGAAGGCCCCGATGGACTTCATACTGTTCTGGCGCCTTCCTTAGAGAAGGCAAAGCCACAGGATTTTCCGACCCAACAAGGCCAACAAAATGAGCTCTTGAACTCAGGAAACTGAACAGACGAGGACTGAGGCGGCTTGTATTTGTATTACTTTCTTCGTTTCTGGTTTCATCTCGTTTGATATTTATTGTATTTCTCGCAGTTTCTCAACCGTTTTTGTTTGCAAGGCCCGTCGTCGAAGACGCCCTGAACGTGTTTCAGAGACTTGGTTGAACGAAGATTGATACATTGAAAGAAGCAAGAGCCAAGAAGAGTCAAGAAGAACATGGTTTTGAGACGAATACGGTTTGAAATTGCTTGGAGGATAGAGACCGCCGTGAGATCCGCGAGCGTGGAGACAGTTATGATGCCAATGACACCTGGGTGCTTCATGCTTATTGCCAACTTGTACCTGTTTCAGTCAGCAAACCCAAAATCAGCCCTCTCGTCTCTCCTCTCGCCAAAATTATTCTAAAGTAAGAGCCGAAACAGCACAAACAAGTCTGTTTGGAGACCAAGACAAGGAAAAACCTGCTAAAGTGCAGCGCGAGCCAGGAAAGCGCGCAAAATCGCAGAGGCCAGGATCAGGCCGCTGGCCCTGAGACTGCCTGACAGATGCAGACAAGCCAGATGGGCAATCTTTTTGAATTGAAAAGTCAAGCATTTGACGGTGATAAAGATAAACCGGCCAGAATCTTGATAGGTTGGATATTCACACAGGGTGTTATTCTCGTGCACCTGGGCTGCTACCCAAAAAAGGCATTCGCCTGCTGTTTGAGGATGCATCATCATGGCGTGCAGATGGAGCTGCGAGTTGGGCGAGGCAGCACTGTCTGAAGGTCCAATAGGAGGATTCCGAATTTCCGAGTACCTACAATAGCAGTTCTCGCTCTTGACTGGGATTCGGCTGTTAACATAGTGCATGTTTCTTTTCCGTTGTCCAAGATGGTCTAGCAATACACAATGTAAAAAGCATCAGGGCAGGCAATGCAAATGTGTTTGCAGGGACGAGGACGACGAGCAATCCAAAAGACGCCCAGGCATTTGCCATGCTGAAACTTTCGTAGTGAGCGTTCCTAGGAACAAGAACACTATTAGGTGAAGCCATCGCAAGTAGGTTGGAGGCCATCGCTACTGGTAACTATAAAGCTTTTAAGCATGTCTTTGAAGCTACTAGTAACAAAGGGCATCGCTACTAGGAGCAAAGACGCTACTAGGGGCTCCTGGCCTTACTACTAGGAGCAAGGATGCTACTAGGAGCAAAGGGCATCGCTACTAGGAGCAAGGACGCTACTATCCACAGACATCAGGTCGCGCACCTGCACGAAGAGGTGAACAGCTAGCAGCCGTAGCTGAGGCAGTGCGTGGTGTTTTGTGATGTGGCTGCCATGTTTCAGGACTTGGAAGTTTCTTTGCCGTTCAACACACCCTCCCCTGGGTGTGCGTTTGTGGGAGCAGGGAAGATTTTGGTTCGGTCTGATAATGATTCCTTTGTGCCAGTCTTTAACAATTTCAAGTTATTGCACGAGCTGGACTGACAACATGGCCCAATGACTGAGATTAGCAACCAGATGCAATCAGCAGTCCTGAACACATCCATAAAGAGGCGTTGCTCCTGTTGGCACGATTTGTCATGGGAGGTGCCTGCTGCCGAAAGCCCGCGGCAGCTTTGGTCTCAGCTCCTTTTGCTGTAAACGGCGAGCTGCTGCCCTGCCAGCAAGTGTTTGCAATTCAATCGCACTTTTAGCAGTGACTACAACCTCCGCGAAAGGTGAATACACGGTGACGAAAGAGTTCGCAAACGTTTCATGCACGAAAGCTGGCAGCAGCTTCTTTTTGATACCAGCCGACTGTATTTGGAATGGCGTGCATGTAAGTAAACCATCCCAGAGTTCATTTAGAACAGCCCTGTCCGCGAAGCTTGCGAAAGTGTTGTGAAACAAGAATGCAACAGATGAAATCATATGTACAATATATAGTAGAACTATATATTTATGTATTATATATTATATATACTTTATATATACAATATAGCCATTGGAACATGCCTCGATTGGTTATGAACAATGCTCACTTCACACGCCTCACCGTCCATCCTTTCAGCAGCGTCGCAGTGGTTGTTTTCCGAGCTTCCGATCTTGACAAAATCGAGGCCGAAGCAGCCGCCTTCGCCTCTCGACGGACTTTCTTTGGCATTGGTTCTTCAAGTTTCTTAGGAACAAGGATGCTATTAGGAACAAAGGGCATCGCTACTAGTAGCTTCTGGCATTACTACTAGGAACCAGAGGACGCTGCTAGTAACAAGGACGCTACTATTTGTCACTTCGTGTCACTTCACTTCGTGTCACTTCTAACATGAATCGTTTCGTGAAGTTTGTTCAGTTTTGGCTTATCAGGTCTGATGCTGATCTTCGAGAGCAAATTGAGTCACTTGTGAAGGTTGGAATCTGAATGGTGCTATTACGTGCATGAAATTGCATGTTGCTCTGATCTTTGCTTGACATTATTGCAAACTGGCATCAGGAACCTGCTCGTCATGCTTGGTAAAGCCAATCGTCGATTCAATATGAAAGCCGAAAGCCGAACATCCACTCGTTGAGGTCTGCGAACAGCTTTTGCGTGAGCGAGCGGAAGAACGCCAGTTGGGACCCCGGAGCTTGGTGTTTATGCAGCGTCCTTGCTCCTAGCAGTAGCTCCTAGTAGTGTCCTTGCTCCCAGTGCTAGATTTGCTCGCCTAAGTTTACGGTAGATTCGATGGGTCTCAAGAGTGACGCGGCCAGGGTGCACAATCCAAGAACCACTCCGGTGCAATCACCCACCCGCAAGACGCAGGAGAGGCTAGGTGGGTTTGTGCCAAACATAGAACTAGGATGAAATTGTTGCTTTGACAAACAGGAAGAGTGGCTTGATGTAGAAGTCTTTTAAACTGCGACAGACTTGTCCGATATTGAGGCTTGGGGCGGGATGCGAAAGATTGCCAACACAATCCTGGATTTCAATCGATCTGCAGCAAGACTATATATTCATATCAGGCAGCCAGCATCTGCCCGGCAATCGCCTTCTCCTCGGCGACTCCCTGCTTCCAGCAAACAGGAATTCATTGAGGCAATCCCGGCATAGCTGCTATGGGTGTGCATTTTTGGCGGATCCAGCTCTGGCATTTTGTTGTTTGCTTGCAATTGTTTCTGACATGATTTTGGCCTTTTGGCTTCTTAGAACTGAAAGCCAACGCTAACTCTACAGAGTGGAACGTTGGGGATTTCGAGAGCTCTTCCCCTACCGCAGCTCCTTTGCGTGCTCAATTGACCTGGGATCATAGTGATGGAGAAGGGTTCGCGTCTCAGCCACGGGCTTTGTCCATCTTCGTCCCAAAGCGTATTTCATTTGCTCTCTCCCTTTAATGTACATGTGGCATGAGAGACCCCATGTTCCCTGTGTGCTTTTGTTTTGCAACTGGATGAACCTGAACACCAGACGACTCCCTGCGCTTCGTGCCAACAAGCACACATCAACCTACTGGTTGTATTTACGCGTGGTGAGTATTGACAGTATAGAAAGAATATAGAAAGCCTAAGATCATTGGCCACCCATTTGTATTGAAGCCCAAATAGATGACCTTACTATCGAGCCGTGCGAGGTTACGATGTGTATGAGTACAGCCGCAAAGGCGACCTGGAAAGCTTGCGTGAGGCCGTCTAAGAAACACACGAGCTAACTTTTTGTAGAGCGTAATATGCAAGATCATCAAAGATCAAACATCTTGGAACCAGGCGCTTGCGGAAGGCAGTAAGCCTGATGAATATATGGCCTACGATGGCTCGACTGCGTTAGTCATGGCTGTCGATGGCTGAGTGTTCTGAGATTCTGTTCTATTTGCAGAATGCATCATGACTGGAAAGAGCTTCCCTTCAGACATTCCTTCCAAGCAGTCATAGAGCCGTTTAGAAGGGCACATTCATGTGGGAAAGATTGCCAAATATTGTATGCAATGCTTGCACATGGTGGCCCGGCCAGGGTTATTGGCTGAAACTTTTTAAACGATTTATCATTTAGCATGATAGAAAGACTTCTATGATTGAAATTGTTCAAACATTTTGCCACTTTCAAGTTTTTCATGTAAAGGCTTTCTTGTTTCAGCATCACTAGATGCAGAACGTGTATATTCCGTTGCCAAGGCTCGCAGTGGCCACGCACACATCGTCAAAGAACTTCTGGCGCGCGGCGCTGATGCCCAGGCATTGTAACTACCAAAGACAACACTGAAACAATTCTATTCGAGACAATTATAGTCTTGTAACTCATGCCTCTTGCCTTTGGTGTTGCGATTTTGACCTTAGACAAGGCAACCAAAACCACAATGGCAACAGCAATGACCAGTCGGGACGTCGGAACACCACCAACAACTCAAACCTGATCACAACATCAAAGACAAAGTAGAGCGACAAGAGTAGTGATGGCACGCATTAATGGCACACATATATGACAATAAAGACACACTCACTTGGCCATGCAACATGCTTCGTGATGTGTGTTTAAACTTATGCCTGCACAGATTGCAGATTCATCCTGTACAAAAGGTGTACATTTCCTGAAGCGGAGGTTCGAACAGAGGATGGCTCTACCATCTTGCACCATGCTGCCAGTGGCAATGCTGCCGAGGTTCCACGGCAGTTTAGTAAGAAACATTTTCCTTCCACATTTGCCCTTCCACATTTGCGTTGACGTGCACTTTCTCCAAGTGGATCTTGCTTTGTACTTGTACTGTAGTACCTGTAGTTCCATTTTAGATCAGACATGTTGAACATGTGAAGGCCATCCCTGTTCTCATCGCGGCTGGCGTTGTGCCGCCCCAAGACTCCTAACACTTGACCTGGGGTTTGTCCTTCAATTTAGATTTATTATACAGGAAGCGCTGATGTTATGTTGGTTTAGGCCAGGTGGACATGAGATGCTAAGGATCCAAATGAAGGCAATGAAGATGGTGTTGTTCCCTTGATCCTGGCAGCACACTATGGCCACCTCGCCTGCGTGCGCGGATTGTGTGATGGTGGTGCTGACGTGAACTTGGCTGCAGAGGCCCACAAGATTTCCCAACAAGTGCACCACTTTGGTACTGGATGTAACTTGATGTGACCAGTTCGCATGCGAATTCTGCTTTGTTTCATTAGGAATTGTTAGGGGGCAGTTGGAGTGAAGGTTCTGAATTGCAGCAAGAAAATGAAACGGACAGACAGATATGCGCAGGGCTGGGGCACTGCACTGGATGGTGCAGATGGTGATGTCGCAACATACCTCCTTAGCCGTGGTGCCAAGCGTTCAGATCAAGGCGTGGGACATGGAACTTCACGCTACGAATTATCCAACGACATTTGCGTTTCTCATTTCCTCTCAAACAGTCTCAAGCTGAGTGAGACAATTGCCAGATGACTGGCCTTTCCAGCCTTTCTACCCGGACACCTCTAGACCAGCAACTGAGGCGCAGATCAACCCATGGCAGCAGCTCACGAGCGCTTTTCATACGGTGCCTAAGAAGGATTCAATGGACACTGGTGGGTCACGGAACCTGTTTCGAGGATGGAATTGTGTATCATAAATGTATTATACAGATATTAACAACACTTTGTTGTATTTGCTGATGATCTACGGAAGCATACAGACACTAAACCCCGCTATATGGCTTAGCCAGAGATTGCAATTGGACTTTGGTTGGGTTCAGGTCTCCTTCAGTCAGTAATTAATTATAGATCTTTGAGGCCAATCGCTGGGGCTGGCACGCATTATGCTGACTCCTCACTTTTTTGTTTTTTACACAATAAACGTCATATAGCATCATCAACATCTGAATCTAATCCTCCAAGCTTGAGAGGTAGGCAAAGTAATCTGACAAATGCATTGCAATGGTGGAAACATCGAAATGTGATTATGTGATGACCTAGTAGCGTCCTTGCTCCTAGTAGTATGGCCAGGAGCCCCTAGTAGCGTCCTTGCTCCTAGTAGCGATGCCAGGAGCCCCTGGTAGCGTCCTTGCTCCTGTTGTTTCAGGAGGACTTGCCATTAGTTTAGGTGTTCGTTTGCCTTGCATTTGGTTGAATTCTGCAGCTAGCCCGCGCTGGCAAGTTTACCAAGGCTGCTTTGAGACCGGCGAAAATCCACATTCCACGCCTGTGCTGGCACCGTCAAGTTCCCAAGGCACTGCTGCGAGATCATGACCGATGCAAATCCTTTCTCAAATCAGGTAACTACAGAACATGCGTAGTTGGCAATGGTTACAAATGTATGACATGACCATGACATGACCTGCTCTTTGATCGCTCATGAGGACCATTGCAATCATATTTCATGAAGCGAGGAACATTGCATGTCTTGAAAGGCTACTCTGTGCCAACAGCTGACACGAGGCCACAGGCATGGCTCTTTCAAGCAATAGCATGCTCCAGTATGCATATGTTTACTTCAGAGTTTAAATACAATTTTTGTTGGCATGGTCGCCGTTTACAGTGAAAGTCAATGAAAGTCAAGAGTCCAGACTGCAGGTGGGCGACAAGGTTTGTCTTCGACATGCCAAGCCATCCGGACTCTTGAAGGAGGGTGATGTTGGCGTGGTGGTCTCACAGCTGCATACAAGGTGTAACGGGATCAGAACAGACACAGACAATGGCCAATGGCTGCGCTACACCAGGTGGGGCTGATTGTTGGTTTAAAATGTTTTAGACACCGATCATAGTAGGCTTTCTTCCAGGGATCTCAAACGCGGCATTCTCAAAAGGATGGACACTTGTTTAAGTCATTTTGATTCTTGATTCTAAATGTCACAACGTGTGACTGGTCTCAGGTTGCTGATGATGGCTCCGATTGTGTCCCCCTCAAAGTAAAGCTGGGTGACAAATATGACTACTATGACTCTCAGCTGCAAACTGTGATCGCTGAGAGATACGACATATGACTCCCAAATCCGTCGATTTCCTGTGCAATATCTGAGGAGTATTCTGATGTCATGGTTCCTTCTGCCAGTTCCAGTGCCAGTGCATGTGCTACACCAGAGGGTACCAAGGGCTTCCTTGCCACTTGCATGACCTGTCGAAACCGATATCGCTGGCCCCAAGTTGATCGGCAGCCGGCAGCGCTTTCATTCAGTCAGCTACGCCCGCTGGGCTCCATTGGTCTAGCTTGAAAACCCATGAAAACCCTCATGCCACGCCATGTTTACGAAATTGTTGTGCATTGGCTGCTTTGGGACACGCCAAGGCGAGGAAGAAAGTGGCACAGACGCTTATTGGCAAGCAGCTTCCCAACGCTGGCACTGCACTTTTGTGTCAGCCTTGTGTGACATATGGGGTCTTGAAGTTCCTGTATCTAAGCTTATTGGTAAGTCTGGTGGCGAAGCACATAGTGCGACTAAGGGGAAATCTGCGCAACCTTGGGAACACAGGCCTTTGCATTTCACCGGTGGGGTTTGGCTGCCATCGCCTGGAGGAACAGCTTTCTTGTATGACTGCCGAAATCAAACTCCATTCTGCAACTAAGTTTGTGTTTTCCGAGTTTCCGAGTATTCCAGATCGAGCTTTGCCACAGACTCACCCACAGCTGCAACCTGATAACAGACAGCCTCGATTCTGACCTGTTTTTGATCCAATTCACATTTGTTGATGTCAGGACACAGATTCTCACAAGAGCGCTTTGGAACTGGCAATCTCACTTGGTTGTAATTTTGTTCCTCGTCTGCAAGCTTGCATATGACCCGACCGTGCTGTTGAGCTGTTGAGCACTATTCACATCTATTCACTATTCCGCTATGTCGCATGCGCGGCAGCATTCGAGTAAACATTCAGGACTACCCCTTATCAAGGCTACATAATTGTTCATCCCTTTGCAAATTACCTCTTTTGAATCAATAGGCCTGGGTGCAGTCGACTGAGCACATTTTGTTTTGTACAGTGTGGACATGGCATGACATGGCTGATTTTTGGGGCTGCACCATGTAGTACTGATTTTGTAAAGAACTGAGACATGCCTACAGGCATGACTGGGCAAATTATTCTGTATGTGTTTTGGTTGTGCAAGACTTTCGGTCATAATCGAAACCTGGGGTATTGAGTCCAAAGAATGTTGACGGTGGGGATGTTGATTCTGAGAAGATTGCTGTTGTAAACGTGACCAAGGCAAACCTCCAAGCTTGATGTGTTTGGGCATTTGCCCAAACCAAGGAAGAATTTGGCAATCCGCCAGAAACATCGAGACAGGAATAAGATCACACGTCACCACACATCATCGCATCACTTAGAAAGGAAAGAAGGAAAACGAAGAAGACACGAAAAGAAAAAAGGAAAGGAGTAAGGAGACCACAGACATACTTTCAAACACATTTTTGAGCTTACGAGGAGCATTGCAGAGCTTTGCACAATGTAGGAAAGCACCGGACGCAGGCAGTTGGAGATGAAAAAGAGATACACGATGATTTGTACAACATCACTATGTTCACCTTTACATACTTTTACCAAATTGTTTGGGAGTCCAGGAAGATATGGTGTTGAAGCACACATGCTGGCTTAAGCCATTAGCCATTGACTGTACAAAACATGCTTGACTGTAGCGACAGCAATGGTTCTGCAAATCTGACTCTTCATGAAACATTGCATGGCTTTGCCCTGGGAGTATTGATTTTGTAATGAATCTAGACTCTAGACGTGTTGGTTGGAGCTCGATTCATTGAGTTTGTAGAAGGTTGTGACCTGCAGGTTATTTTTGGTTAGTCATGTTTGAGCTTAAGGTATTGCGTAAATAGATAATTTTGCAATCAATACCCCTAGCGTTGAGCCCATATTTCATGGGATTGTTTTATTTTCCAACCTTTTGCACGAGAAAGACATTCTCATTCTGCAACACTGTCCCATAAGGACCAAACAAAACTGTGTGCACCAAGATTGACCAGCTTGAGTGCTGTGTGCCTTCTGCTCCCAGGTTGACTTGGCGCCGAACTACACTGATGGCGATGCTGAAAAGGCCAGGGAAGGTGAATCATTGTCCATGGGTCAAGCCAAGCACTCGCAAAGGGCCCCAAAAATCAAAGAATATCCAAGGAATTTCCTGGATATTTGAGGGACATCTCCGCAAGAAACATTTGGAGGGGACGTAGACATGGACATCTCTGCATCAGAACCCAGATAGCTTGAGTCCTTGGAATCTGCAAGTCGAGTCGATATGAGCCGGTTTTTGCAGGTCGCTGGAGAAGTCCTCCAGAAACTGCTGCAGCAACGCAAGGTGAGGTCTCCTTTTGACTTGTGACTGTCATTCCCAAACATAGCGATGGAATGCGATGGCTTGTCTTGCGAGGTAAACAATGACAATGATTGGTAGAACACGTGCGCGGTCTAAACAGTTTGAACAGTCTGCAAGGTTGCTCGAGACGAGATTGTTGTGGCTACCAAGGCTGGGTTTCCTTTGCCTAGAAATGTTGTGATTGCTCATTGTTTCTTTTTTGTGTGTTTTTCTATGTCTTTCTGTAGTTCTTAAATTGCCTTTCTGTCTTTCAAGTCTTTCTTTCTTTAAACATTTCTTTTTTTATTTGTTTTTTTTGCCTCATTTTCCACTTACCAGGATACCTTCAAGATTCACGGGTACAGATTCTACCGCGTACTATACTGGCAATCACAAAGCAGAAGATATACTTTATTGCTTGGGCAGGTTGGCAATGTGCTGGGAAAGCAGATGGCACATACCGAGGGTGTTCCCAACATGGCAAGAGTCAATGAGAGCAACTTGTTATAAGATGTAGACAGGGTCGTAGCATGCTGGGTCAGCACAGTTTCACCAGAAAAGACTTGAGGAGCAAGGCTTGGGTAAGCAACCACAATAGACCAACCTGGACTTGCCATAGGTGACGGTGCCATCATTCTAACATTGAACTCAGTTGTGAGTGGCAAGATGCTAGATAACATATTTTGAAGGGCACTTGATTGATGTATTGCAGTGCACCGGAAATGACCACAAAGCCTGTTGAAAATTTCCAGCCTAGGCTTATATCACTGTATCTCCCCGTGCTGGATCGAGCAGGCACGATTTGCCGATTATATAGAAGTCAAAGCCATCTAGCGATCCATTTGGCTGTTTGGCAGATTTGATGATGTAAAAAATGCAATAGTATGAACAAACTGTCAAAGCTCGATTCTCACTGTCAATCATTGTCATCAATTCTTCGAGGAGCACTTTTCCCTGGATTTCGATGGTGAGAATCTCTCGAAGTGGAAATCAAAAACATATATACTGGGTCCCCAACATGGTGTAAGAAATTGCAGGAATGTGTTTGTTTGTAAATGTTTGCAACCCAATTGTGTATATACTGTATAATATGTTATCATCTTGGAATAAATCAGACTCTTCTATCAGACAATAATAAAGCTGCAGGAGCTGACGCGAAGCCTGAACCGGCTGCAGTTCCTTGTGCTGCAGTCAAGGCAGTAGCTGCATTGTGGCAAATACCGAAGAGACAGCTCAAGACCTTAATGTAGAAATTCAATAGATTATGGACGTATAGTTGTCAATGGTCATATTGAAATACCGGCAGAGAATCACTGTTTTGGTCGTCTCCATATTATGGTTCTGGGCTTTCCATTGTCCAGCCCACTCCGCACACACACACACACACTTTGTTCCAGGATCCCAGCTAGGTTGACAATGGCAACGAACTGACCCGAGATATGATGCTGTAGACGCTGAACACTGAACACAGCAGTACTTGACAAACCGGGGCACAAACGGAGAACCCATGAACATCCAAGCAAGAGCACGGTAGCGGAGGGGAGGGTGCAAGGGGAGGGTGCAAAGTTTCTTTTTTTTTGTGGTAAGGATGCATGTAGCCTGGGTAAGGCCATTTGGCAGTTCAAGGCTTTGTAATCATTTGGCTATTTGGCTTGAGGATTGTTGATTTCAGCGTACTGGAAGTTTAAAGGACAAATCTGGAAAATGTGGAAAGGACAGACAGCCTGGATGACCTGCACACAACACATCATTTACCTTATTTCCTCAGGCTCAGTTGCATCGATTGTTTGCTACTTCATTGCCCTGAGTATGAGAGCAAGGCAGGTGTGGACATGTCGGAGGTCTACTCGAGAATGAGCGGCTTGACAGCAGCCAGAACAAGGAGTTTCCCAGAGTGACTAGTCACTGAGATTGGAGGCGTGTTTACTGGCAACATTTACACTGACCATTAATTATTCTATATTATTCTTATATAACCAAAATTTATTAGCAGCCTGGAGCCAACAAGCCGCCATTTAGGAACTGCCTTTGACTACTTGGAGACTGAAGTTGCAAAGGGTCGGATTGTCGCTTGGCCTTGGCTGCTGGTGAATCTGGTGTCGGACATGCATTTTCACACCAGATCCAGGTCTATTCCTTTCCCATGTATGCAGACTAGTCCCACAAAGAACACAACATACAATGATGCACACAATTAGAGTTAGGTGCTGCAAGGCTCAATATGGAGGTGAAAAGCGTACTGTATTTCAATGTATTTTCTGTCATTTGTCATTTGTTGCTAGCTTTTAGCATCTCTTGGCCGTTACTAGTAGCCCCCGCAAGATGAGCGGGCGGTCAAAAAAAGGTTGAAACTCAGTTGTAGCTTGTAAGCTGCAGCTACTTTGCCCAGTCAACGCACTAAAGTCCATTAGCATGCAGCAGATCAAGCACTACCGCCAGTTGCTCGGGAGAACTTTTAGGTTTCTGGAAGGTGATAGCTGTGTTCGCTCAAATCTTGCCATTTTTTTGCAGAGATAGTATATAGAGATGCCTCCGAAGAGAAGTCTTGGAGTTATGGCTGGCGATGTCAAGAACAAGGCCTCCCAGCTGAAGTCCGCCGTACTGTTGCGAATGAAGGCCAAGTCCGTTGAGACTTCGTCACCTAGTGCTGCTCCTTGTAGCACGGCCTTGGCTGCCTCCTTTCTTGAAACGGAGAATACGGAGAGTACTGGAAAGACGAGCAAAGAAAACCTGTGCCATGTATTGTCCAGCGAACTCAGCGAACCTAGTGAACATGAGTCTGAAGAGGATGGATTGCGCCCTGACACAGTTGATTCACATGACGTGCGAAGGCCGAATGCAGCTAATGCGGCCAGTCAGAAATTGCCAGTTCAGGAGCTAGATCCCAAAGTGACTGGTGCTGTCCTTCTTTGCTCCATCCTAGCCCTTTGCCGCCCATCCCTCTTGCTACTAGTTTTGCTGGTGATGGGGAACCTCATTTTGGCTTTTGTAGTAGCAACGCTTTGCATGTATCTTCGCGGCAAAGCATCTCCGGCACCAGCACCATTAGCCGCAGTGGGTGATCCGCATGATGAAGATGGTGACATCAAAGCTCCTGTTGGCTTGCAGCAGTTGCTTAGCCCTGGATGGATTCGCATGCGAGAGATCATCGCCCAGAGGGATTTCCAAGGAGTAGTAAAGGCAGTCGATCTTGGCGATCAGCCTCCTGAAGTGACTTTCGTTCAATCTGCTAACGCCCCTTGCGACGATGTGGTGTGCTTCAACGTTGGGCTGTTGCTAAGTTCAGACTGCAACACTTTCGTTCCGCCCACTGTGCTGATAGAAGTGAAGCTTCCTGGATACTCAACTCCATGGACCTTCCGCTTGAAACTATTGTCCCTCCAGATCACAGTACAATTGTATTTTTGGAGTTGGCCTCCTGAAGGGTGGGGCAGCGGGCGACCATTCTCCTTGATAGAAGGGGCTTTGTGTCCAGAGGCAAATCCACCTTTGGTGAGAGTTGCTTTGGAAGCAGTCTCAAAGTCATCTCTTTTCGAGCAATTTCTTTCTGGATGTGAGCCTGTCGCGTCTGCAGTGATTTGCTCCCATGTTTTGCCGCGCTTCACTGGTTTTCAAAACCGAGTGATCTTAGAGGAAGGACGTGCACAGAAGAAGGCCAAGGACAGCAAAGCTTGGCAGCAAAAAGCTCGCCGTGCTGGCTGGCAACCACGAGCAGAAGCTGCTGTTGAGAGTGTCAGGAGCTCAGCTATTCAGGACGTTCACGGAAGAACATGTACACGACGGTACAATGCCATATATGTTATACATTTGTTTGCCTTTATATGCATTCTTATGCCTTTATCATTTCGTGTTCGCTGTTTCTGTCACTGTACCTGATCCTAACTTCTCCGGGGTCTCCCGACTAGGTCCGACTGGTTTTGTTTTTTGGCCTCGCACCTCATCCCAACATTGGTGCATGTGACTGGGCGTTTGGGTTTGTATGTCATATCGTTACCAGCTTTCAGCTTTTGTAACAGTCCTTGTCATCCTTGTGACTTCCACAGACTTTGCCACCGTTTCGTTTCTTGTCTTTTTTTGCGGAAGTGAATTAAGAAGGCATTCAATGACATGAGTGAGTGTAGGGTGTGTCCATGAGGGAGACTTCGTCCGAACATTTCAACCATCCGATTCCAAGCAACTGCAAATAGTCTCCTCAAGATGTGTGTGGATGGTAGAAACATGCAAACGTGAACGTGTTTTAAAGTTAAGTTTCAAGAACAATAGCGCTCTGAGCATTAGCCTGCATCCAAGCCTAGTAGTGCCTAGCCTACTAGCAGCTTACCTCCTAGTAGCTACTTAAGCTACTTCCTCAATCTGACCTTTCCCTTCTTCTACTCCACCACCTTGGGCCTTAAACCAAGAGACTGTAGAGCCTTTTGCCGCCCCCCCTGGGGTTGTGAGGCTTTGGGCCAGATGTTCAGTGAAGCTGGAGGATTTGCCTACGAAGCTGTTGCTAATACAGCAGCTAGCGCAGCAGCTCAGGGCGCAGCAGCAGCTCGAATGCTGAAGTCATCTTTTGGAATGGAGCCATGAGGAGATTGCAGTCCTTCAAAAGCCATTTGGGGTGGATTCTGGCCCAGCTGCTCGTTCCTACAGACTCATCGTCAAACGGAAGCTGTACGACGGTATGAGGCCAAAGAAGAGAGACTTCTCGGGCTTAGATTTGGTTGAAGAAAAGAACCAGGATGGACGAGGAAAAAAGGGAATTTAAGTGGCGAAGCCGTGATGGCGAAGCGTGGTGAAGCTGCAGATGGACAGCTTCACGGACTTCATGGGCTTGCAGAGGCTTGCAGAGGGTGGTTGGCGGTTTTGCCAAGCCGAATGGTACCATCAAGTGCCCGAGATTGGATCGAAAAGACTCGTGCCTCAAGCGGCTTTGCATGTTCACAATGCAGCACCGCATGCAATACCGTCAAACCTGACAACTTGCAAAGAACCGACATATTACAAGTTTAAGGCCATGTACGGCTTATCAGCGGCCTTTATGCCATTGAGACCCACAGACGCTCAGCATTTGGACTTGTCGAAGGCCTCGAAGATGCAACAGTGTGCAGTTTTGATGCGTGTTGGAGATTGACTGATTGACTATTGAACTAGCTCTTGATTTATCAGCCTCAGAAACAGGAGTTCAGGGAATGTTTGTAAGTTTCAGGTTCTGAGACTACTACCTGAGAAGCATCACTTCAGGGTCTTGCAGTTCCCCTTGAACTTTGCGGAGGCGCCACGCCTTTTTTTGGTTAACAGTCGTCAGTCAGATTTGTAGGCAGCCAACAACAGTCATGGTGAGTGATGGCCCACAAAGTAGATTGTATTTGTAGCTCTTGTAATTATATACTCCAGAACCAGCAGGTTTGTTCGGTGCGAGACTTGTGAGCAAGTCAAGTGCTGCAAAGTGAGAGTCTGACAGCGTCCTGGATAATATGCTTTGACACCGTTTCCTGCAGGCAGAAGCCATGTGGGTAGGCCTGGACATGCCTGGACTGGTTGACAAGACGATCGGCGCATTGATCATCTCCAGGGAGCAATGAGCACAAGTTGCTTGTGGCCGAAGTTGATCGTAGATTGCCATGAGAAGAGATTATATAAATATACTCGCATGCCTTTGATCACCCTCCTCCATTTAACCCATTCCCTCAAACTGTCCCACCCTTTCAGTGGTGCTGTGGAGGTCACGTCCCTCGAAATCCTGATGGATCAGCTGTGGATTCGGGCTCAGCGGTTGAAGCGGCAACCCTTTTTGAGGCTGGCAAACAGTTGTTTCCTGGTTTTGTGCTTCGTTGTTGCATGGAGGATGTTCTTTTGCCTTGGATGCAGCAAGAACCAACCGTTGTACCTTTTCTTATACACATGTCTGATACACATTTAATTATACACTTTGTGACTCTTTACTTGATGCCATGTTATTTTTGACCGCTGAAGGTGGCGAAAACTCATGGCTTGGCTACGCACCTTGACCTTTGCAGGTTTTTGCTACAGTGCTCTGATGTTTTGGAAAAGCTGTGGTGGTGGTGGTGGCTGTGAAAGATACAAAATAAAGAAACAAATTGAATGATTGATGACACTTGATACCCGGTGTATCAGTTTCAGTCCAGTTCTCGAGCTGGCTAAGGCTGATAAACCGACCGCTGGATGGCATTTACAAGGAACAGCAATTCTCCTTGAGACAAGACAAAATGCCGGATCTGGCCCTTGCTTGGTTCAATGAAACAATGGCCAAAACAACTCAACACCCTACTGTATTGCAACCAGCTTGAAGCGCTTTTCTTTGACATGCAATATTGAATCCAACTACTCAGCTACACCTGTTGAGCCCGGCATGGCCCTGAATTGAAGGAAGCTCACGGCGTCTTGCGTTTCTCGTCCCTGGATTGTGATGTGCGTTCCTTCTCCGAGCTGCAGCTTGACAACTGTGACTGGACTGGAAAGTCTTTGTCTTTGTATTTCGTGGAGAGCCAAATCTCAATCATCACTGCCACTCCTGCGTATGGCGTTCAATAGGTAACTGATGGTAGTTGCATAAAATAGCCTTTGTAACCATAGTAGTAGCGTTCTCTAAAAAGCTTCAGAAAAATCAAAAGACGATCGTGGTATATATATATATAAGTATGTTTCTTTCTCGAGGCGTCTCTTATGATGCAATCAAATGCAATCTATAGTTACTATAGTTAACTTGATCTTGGCGTGTGGCTAGGTGATGCCATTGAGGAGAAGATCACTAATCTGTGCGGCTTTGAATCAAAGCAGAAGCTGTCAAAAGCTGGAAGTTCTCAAACGTGTCAAACGACTCAATGTAAACGTTGCAAGAATTGTATTTTAAAACGCTACTAGGGGCTCCTGGCCTTACTATACTAGGAGCAAGAAAGAAGCTACTAGGGGCTCCTGGCCTTACTATACTAGGAGCAAGAAGTTACTAGGGGCTCCTGGCCTTACTATACTAGGAGCAAGAAGCTACTAG